TTCATTTATAAGAAATCCATTCATTTTATTGAGGCCCTAATGTCTCAAGCACTATTTTATATTGTAAGTACTTAGAAACAACTTTTTTCGCATTGGGGTTGTAATCCAGGGTTGCTCTACTACTAAACTAGATCCCCAGCCTATTTTCTAGTTTTTATTTTGAGAGCTTCAATAAATTGCCCAAACTGGCCTGGAAGTTGCGATCCGCCTGCCTCAGCCTCCCTAGCATATACAATTACAAGTGTGCACCATCATACCCTTACTAGGAAACAACTTCTAAAAATTCTTTCCTCCTTTCCAAGTAGTAGCAGACAGATAATAAACATAAGACACTGTTGGTTGGGGTGTGGTGGCACATGTTTATTTATAATCCTAGTATTTGGTTGGCTGAAGTGGTAAAAAGGTTCAACCCCTAGCATCATACCCTCCAAAAAGAAAAATTTCCCCCAGACCTGCAAAAGACAAAAACATAAGGAAGCCAGGTGTGGTGGTACATGCCTGTAATCCCAGTACTCGGGAGGCTGAGGCAGGAGGACTGTTGTGAGTTTGAGACCAGCCTGGGCTACAAAGTGAGCTCAGGGCCAGCCTGAACTGCGTATCGAGACCCTGTCTCAAAAAGAAGAAAAAAAAAAAAACCACAAGGAAAAACAAATGCCCAAGAAACAGACTTGAAGGAGGTGAGGGAGTCACTTAGCCATGGTGACACCTGAGTACTCCAGGCACAGCAACAAACAGTGCAAAAGGCCTGGAGTATTTAAGAACAGCAAGGAGGCCAGTAAAGCCGGAAGGAAGCCAGCAAGAATAATTGGTAATTTTGACAAATGTCTACAAAAGGAACACAGATTATGTGGGGTTTATGGGACACTGTAAGGAATTGTTTCCTTTCATTAAACAGGGACCCACAAAAGGTTAACTGAGTGTCATGATGTGTTTTACCATCATCACTAGCTGCTGTATTGAGATCAAGCTATAGGTAGGGAGAAGTAAAAGCAGGGTGACCAGTTGAGAGGCTACTAAAGAAACACAGTAAAGAAATATGTAGTACCTCCTACAAACGTTGATCATATTTGTACAGGGCTTGTTTACTTTGATTATTTTTTGTTTTCCTGGTACTGGAGATTGAACCCAGGGCCTTGTACATGCTAAATATACAACCTACCTTTAAGTTACACCCTTAGCCCAGGACTGACTTTTAAGCAAAACAGAAACAATTCTATCAGATCTTGCTAACAGAAAATAACTGGAATTGTGTTTTACAGAGCGTGTGGCATGCACGTTCATTGTACAATACAAACACAAAAGCTATCTTTTAACTACTCACTACAAAAGTGTTCTTTTACCTTTGAAAACCAACTACTTCCTGTTCAAAGTCCTATTCTAGCTCTCTATTCTTTAAAGAAGTGAGCTAATATTACTGTGGCTCTGTTAATTATACACTATTTCTTGAAAAAGTTACTTTCGTCAACTAAAAATAATACAATCATTTACCTTGGACTGGTGCTTTTCTGATCATCTAAAAAAGTACTCCTCAAATCTGATTTCCTAGTGGAAACAATATTCTTTCTATAAAAACTTCCTTTTAGCTGGGTGTGGTGGTACATGCCTGTAATCCCAGCACTAGGCAGGCTGAGGCAGGAGGATCATTAGTTCGAGACCAGCCTGGGCTACAAAGTGAGCTCAAGGCCAGACTGAATTGCATATCGAGACCCTGTCTCAGAAAGATAGAAAAAAAGTTTCTTTTTAGCCAGGTGTGGTGGCACACATCTGTAAGCCCAGTACTTGGGAGGCTGAGGCAGGAGGATCACTGTGAGTTTGAGGCCAGCCTAGACTAGAAAGTGAATTCAAGGCACACTGAACTGCACAGTGAAACCCCATCTCAAAAAGACAAAAAGAGGGGCTGGGGATTTAGCTCAGCGGCAAAGGGCCTGCCTGGCAAGCGCAAGGTCGTGAGTTCAGTTCCCGGTACCGGAGAAAAACCAAAAAAAAAAAAAAGACAAAAAAAGGGGGGGGTCCTTTTTATGTTCTCATCTCTTAAAGTAACTATTTTATTAAAATTTATACTAAATTTGCCTCTCATTAACTGGGTCATGCTCCTTAGGAAGCAGCAACCACAAAAAAATTCCCACTGTCAAAAATAACACATTCCACAAAAGTGCTCACAGAACCAAAACATGCTTACTATAATCTTGTCCTTTTGCAAAGAGCAAATACAGTTCCCATAATCTAGTTTTCTTTAACATAATGATTATCATAAGAATAAGAAAGACATTTGCCTGAAAGGGCTAAGGAGCAAAGATCTTGAAATAAAAAATTTGTTCCTCTAAAAAATTTGCTCATCAACTTAAGCACATTTTTGTTTAGTTTACATGGGAGTGAGGACAAGTGAAATAGTTAACTTGCTTCACTCAGAAAACTTACTATCCAGATTTGGCATGGAATTAGACTACCCCCGTGACAATTTACATATTCTGCAGAGAAACAGCAATGAAAATATAGTAAGTATAATACTAAATTCAAATTAATTCATTGAGGGCCGGGGATATGGCTCAGTGGCACAAGCGCCTGCCTGGCAAGCACCAAGTCCTGAGTTCGATTCCTGATACGGGAAAAAAAAAACAAACCACAAATTAATTCATTGAACATTTAGGTGTTTTTACGTGTCAGAAATCACATGAATCAGTGCAAAGGATGACCTCTGAAAACCGTGCTCCTATTCACTACCCCTGTTATTGACTACCTACTATGAGCCATATGCTGGGGATACAAAAGCAGCTGTACATGGGAGGAAGAAAACACTTCAGGAATGAGACATACTTGGGAGGCTGAGGAGACTGCTGAGAGTTCGAGGCCAGCATAGGCTCCACAATGGGTTCATGGCCAGCCTGAATTGCACAGTGACATCTGGTCTCAAAAAAAGAAAAAAGGAAGGAAGAAAGAATGAGACACATCTGATTAAAGATATTGAAGTGTTAAAGGTACTGCTTATGTAACTGGAGAGGGACACATCCAGGAATTCAAGGTGGAAGAGTAGTGTTAGTACTTCAGACACATGCAAGAGCTGAGTCTTTAAAGAGGATTAGATGTTCACCTGGCTGACCTTGGGGGAAGGGCTCCAAGCTGAAAGCACCTGGAGCTAAGGCAGATGTGTGAACAGCCTGATGTATCTGACAGGCCTGGAATACAGAGTATGAGAGCAGCCATGAAGGTTCCTGCACGCCACAATTAACACTGGATGGACTTGACTGGTATATGTGACAGAAACTTGAAGGATTTTACTCAGAAAACCAGCCTATGTAATCAAGTTTTTCTGGTGTGATGAAACACTGGTTTACACAGGAATGACAAAAGAAAACACTACATAATGATGTCATCATATGAAACAACAAAGGAAACTAAACTCCCTTCAGGAAAAAAATTAAGTAGTTATTTAAGCATTTCTGGAAAAAGTTTTTTATTATCAGTTAAAACTGAAAAAACAGGAAAGGTTTTTACATGTATCGTGGCTTATGGCATCTACCTCTACAAGGACGCTGAGTTTTCAAGACGTCTTTGCTCTTACTAATTCTGTAACACATCTGGGGCCGCTGGTTGTACAAAGAGCAACTGAACCCTATTCGACAGACTCTTTGATAAAAAGTGCGAAGGATTTCCCAAGCAGCAGACAGCATTTCCCAAGTCAGGTTGAGAGGTTTCCAAAGTTCAAAATAATTAAGTTTTAAATCAGCTCTTTTAAAAGGTGTGTCACAGGGGTGGAGCAAAAGGAGGAGGAGCTAAAAATCAATATATACATACATAAACAAGTAACTTGACGTCGCTGGAACTAAAATCTCCACTTGGAGATCTGCCTCCCAAGAAGAGGGAGAAATGAACAACTACCACACCGGTTAATAAGAGGCGAGAGTGAGGAAGACACGCACAGGAAAGTATAAGTGGGGGGTTGGCCACCTACCCCGAACCCATAATCCAACTGGTGATGCGGTGAGGAAAGCACAGGATTCAGACAAAAAGGCAGGAAAATAATGTCACTCCCGAACTCCGCATGTGCACAGCAGGCGGACACGGGTCAGGACAGCACGATCACCCCGGTTCCCTGAACTCAAGGACGGAGCACCCTGCCCACACGGCGTCCGAGGAGGGGCAGGCGCACCCCGACTCCGGGACCCGGGCCCCGCCGCCCGGAGCTCGGCGC